GAGAGATTTGAATTCAAGGCTAGAAACAATTTTGTAATAACCAAAGAGCAAAGATCTTTGTATAGCATATAGTTCAGATACTGCAGTATACTGGAAGTTCAAGAAAAAAGTCTTCTAGGTAAAGAGTATATTGAGAATTGTAAACATTGTAGGGGTTGAATATAAGAAGTGATATGTTAGGATGATTGTGAGCTAATTTGTTAGCTTTGTTGTTAAATATATTGTTCTGGTATACTTTTACTTTATGAAAGGTAATTTTAAGATTATAAGATTTAGTAAAATTAAAAAAAGTATTCCATAAAGATCAATAAAGTATGTTTAAAAAATTGAAGCTATTAGTTTATTAGATTAAGTTATCATATTTAGATATAACAGATTGAAAGTCTGTAAAGATTTGAATATTATAGTTTCTAGGTGCAGTATATATAGCAGACAGGACTGCAAGTAGCTCTGCCTTAAAAGAGCATAGTCATAGTGAAATTTGTATTTGAAAGGTATAGAGAATATTGTTGTTGTTAACCTGTAATCAACTAATTCCTATAGAACATTAAAGATTTTTAGATTGAATAACTGATCCATCAATATAAAATATAAGATTGGTAGAGAATTGATTGTTGTTAGCAATCTGTTGAAGGATGTTAGATATATTGTTAATATAAAAGAGAGGGGGAATTTGTAAGGGTTGTATAATAAGATTGGGAATCTTGGGATAGGAGTAACTTCAAGTTGTTTAATTGAATAGATAAGGTCAAGAGGGTTTGTATTAAAGTTAATTGATTTATCTGAGTTAAATCTGCCTAAAAATTTAGTAGCTTGACTAGTAAGGATAAGGATAGTATATTTGTTATTAATAAGGTTAGAGTTGAGAGAACAGTTAGAGCATGGCTTAGATATTATATAGGGTATTGGGTATAATGATATAGATTTAGTTGTAATATTATATTGCTAGTAATTAATAAATATAAGGTTAAAGTTTGTTAATTAGTAACAGGCTTTGCCAATAATAGCTTGATTATTGAGTATTGTAATAAGCCAGGACTTGGAGTACTTTGGGAAGAGGCTAGTATTGTAACTATAATAATTGGCTAGTGGTAGATTTATTTGAGAGAAGATAATATAGTTGTAAAAAGAGCTTATAATAGAATTTTTAAGTAGTTTAAACTATTGTGAAATTTTGCCTTTAGGTATCTTGTTAAGTCTTGGAGAAATATACTTCTAGTCAAGAAGACAGAAATTATCTGTAATAGTTAGTTGATCAAGGAAGAGGATATGATAATGTCTTAATTGTTTTTTAAAAGTAGCATAATTGGGATAAAATGCCAAGATAGATTCAGGAGTAATAGAATTCTCTTGAATTGTGAATGGTATTAATGTACAGGAATTGGAATAAATTGTCTAGTTTAAATGGGATGGCTGATATTGTGAAGACTACCATGATCTGGTTACCCAGACCTTTAATATTCTATTTCCAGATCTTAGATATATACTCTTAACTAACTTTATTTAATAGATTGTTTTATATTTATATTATATAGTTATAATCCAGTATTAAAAAAGTAAAGAAAAGAAAAAATAATAAAAAAATATCTAAAGAAAATATATAAAAGAGATTGAAAGATTAAAAGTTGTAAAAATAAAATAAAAAGATAAAATGAAATAATAGTATTGTAAATAATATAGTATATAGATCTGCAGTATTGAATATTTGTTATAGTAGTAGAAATGTAAAAAAGAAGAATTGTAATAGTAATTAAGAGAATTTTAAAAAAATTTTTAAAAAATGGCAAAATATAAATATTTACACTGTAGTTGGTAATGCTACTATAGTGCACTGGGTCTAATATGCTACTAGTAGGATTCGAATATATAGCCTTGCAGTTAGAGTACCTGGCATGCTTAAAAAATCTTGGCATGCTATAAGACATGCTATTTATCTAAATCTATGTCAAGATGCCATCTGGCATGTCATTGGCACACTGTATGTAGTTTATAGATATTATACAAAATTTTATGATCTATAAATTATTAAGATACAGAAATTCAAGATTATGGAATTATATTGAACCATGCTTTTATTAAATTCCAGAATTCTTTTTAAGATTCAAATAATTAAGCAAATACCTTTACAATAGATCAATACACTATTGATTTTTGCTTTATGTTTTTTATTTTTTTATAGCATAATTTATAATACTGTGCCAAGTTCAAAGTTGTTAAATCTTATGCAGTATAATTAGTTTTTAATACATAGACTTATATAGAATAATGTAGTTTCTCTTTAATTGGCAATCTGCGAATCACCTAGAGAGTGATCTGATTAATTTAGTATAAAAAAAGTTTTAGATACACGCACGCCATATTCGCAAAGCTCTAATTTTATAAGTAATTTGCATCACGTTTTACTATGATCACTCTCCAGGTAACTCACGGATTGCCAATTAAGTATTTATTGATAAGTATTTCAAATTTTTTATATTTAAATAATACATTTATTAGATGTTTTTAAAAAATTTTTTCGAATATATATTTAAACAAACAGATGTATCTTAAAGAAAAATTTTCTAATATTAATTTAGGTTTTGAAGAGTCATCAATTGACCAATTCTCATTAATACAAGTAGACCTTTGGTGGTGAATAGATAGGCTCTCTTCACTTATTTCTTGTTTTTGTTTATAAGCTTCAAGATTGAAGAATTTTTCTATTACCAAGTTGTTATCATTCATTTCGGTATCAATTGGTTCAATTTCAATTTGCAACTCTTCTATATCAGAAAGTTCTTCATCAAAAAAAAGATTATTGCTAGTATCTGTAGTATTTATATCATCTATAAGTGAAACTTGATTGTTCACTTTAGTCTTTTTTTTTAACGATTCAGGCAGCCTTTAGTGAAGATTATGATGGAGCATTTCAAGCATCCCTATTGAAGTGGAAGATATTTTATTTCATAACTTGTCTTTGTCAATTCCAAACTAAAAAAAAAGCATTCTACTGCTGTAGCATGTGGAACAATTACAAAGATCTTTACTACAAAATATCAAAGATATAGAGTATTTTCTATTTTTAATCATAAAACATAAGAATGAGATTTTTTTATTTATTTTTTGCTAACAATATAATACAAAAAAAATATTATAATATTATTAGTAAATCGTGACCAGAAAGTTCTAGGGTTAATATTTTTAATATTACTAAGATTATCAAAAAGTATATCTTTATTTTTATAGCTGATAATCTCTTTGAACAAAAGAGTTATCTCTCTTTTATCAAAGCCTCAAGATTTTGCCAATTCTAAAGAAGCTCTAACAATTGAAGCACCTGATATTTTCCTTGAAATTGCAATTTGTTTATGGTTTGGTGACAAAAAAAAAGCGATGAGATAAATATTATCTGAAAATTCACAGGCCTGTTTGTTAACAACTGCCAAGACATGTTTTTTAAATCCATCTATTGGAATATCTGATATAGAAATAATATGATAAATGCTTATTAATTCTTTAAATACATCGGCTAATATAGCATTCCTTGATTTAAGATAACTAATGGCATCAATGATAGGAATGAGTACTATAACTAATATGTCATTGTTAGCAAAGTGATAATGACTAGCAATTATATTTTTAATTTCTGATCGAATTGTAGAATAATTGCTGGTTTCGCTAAGATTAATACAATGAAAAAATCCTTTTTCAAAATCTCTTATACCTAAACAGACCTTTGTCAAAGAATACCAATAGGTTTCACAAAATATTGTAAGCGAATAACATAATCCTTCTTTTTTTTTCTAGTCTTGTAATGCTTGAAACCAAATATGAAAGACATAAAAAAATTTATAAGTTTTTAATTATTTTTAATTGTTGTAATTAAAGGCTGAAAAGAAGAGATATTCTTTGTAATTAGGTTAAATGTGTAAAGACAACACGGACAGGAATAATCTTGAAGAAAACTGGCTCTTATTTTGATTATAACTAAAGGGTTATCAGTTATATATGCAATAATTGAATTAATAGAGATTGAATTTGACTGTAAGATATTTTCAAACTGCTCTTTGAGAAACATAGCAGTATGCTGGTTTGCTAATAGATCAGTAATGTCTAAGACATATTCTTGGTCTTCTTTCAAAGCCATGAAACTATAAATAGAATTTCAAGATACGTTTTGCTATCCATCTAAAGTGATAGTAATATTGGCTAAAAATGTTATCAATTTAAGTTTTTTGGCCAAGTAAGTTAAGAAAGAACTATTAAGAACTTTAGTTCTTAACATTTCATCAGAGAGTGGATCATAGTTAGGGGCTAATTCATTAAGGAAATCAAGAAAATAAGGGTTTTTAATGACTCTAAAAGAAAAATTGCTATAAATTATAGCATTAAATAACTTTTTATCTAATTTTCCTTGTTTATTTTGTGACATCAGTTTTATACACCAATTTATTAGACTTTCTTGATACTCTAATACAGAAGAAGATGAGTTATCAGAAGTATCAGTTATACTATAATATTTCTGTTAGTTAAGTTGAAATATTTATATATGCTATCACAATTTTTTATAATTTTTTACAATTACATACATTTTTTCATCAGATACAGAACTAACTTTAACTTTTTTGCGAGTACTAGGAACAGAACTATTAACATTTTTAAGATAGGCAGCCTTTTCAGTAACAGACCATTTACTATATTTAAAAACATGATTATGAAGCTTTTCTGGTCTGCCAGGTAATTCATATTGACAATAGATACACTTAGCAATATACCTATTGCCACCAATTTTTTCTAAGAAGTGCCAAAACCTAGTTTAGCAATTATCATAAATTTTTATATCAAGATTAGTAAAACCAAATAGAGGCTAGGATTGTATAATATAAGCAACTTTTGTTTGCTATCTAAGTAAAAACTTAAAAGGATACTAATAATGAAAAAAAAAAGATTTTAAGCCAATAGAACTTTTTTTTATACTATTGTTGACTTGATCTTTGTAATGGTTTATTAACTTAAATTTTTTTTTTTATAATTTTTAAAAAATAAAAATCTAGTCAAATAATCTTAAGTGTTTATTAATTTTTATTCTCAGAAGAATTAAGCTATATATTGGGAAGTATTTATTGTATTTCATTATATATATATATATATTTTTGATTCTTTTAATTTTTTTTTAATTTTTCATTCTTTATTTCCTCTTTCTTATGAATCAAAAGCTATTTTAAAGTTCAATATATATTTTTATATACAATTTGACATAGCCTCGTCAAAGATATACTCTTATTTTAGCTTTACTATACTCCTTTTCTTTATGACTATAATTCAATTTATCTTTTTTTGGGTTAGTATGTCTAGATAATTTGATGATTGCATTATTTGGGCTGAGTAAATCATATAAAATTATTATTAAAGTATTCAAAGAGTTTATTTATTATTATCAATTTAATAAAATTTTAAATATAAATAACAGATTATCTTATAAGGTATTTTCAAATATATTAGAGTAATTCCATGTGTATTTACTCAAACCGGGAACATGTATATATATATTAGCATTAGAAGGATTAATTATATTATCATCACTATAAATGCTACAATTTTGAAATCTAATATTATGCAATGTGTACAAGTTATAGAATAAATAGAAAAGTAGTACGTACGTATATAGCATGAATGCAATACTGAAAATAGTAGTGTTACTTTGTGTTGAAAATAAATTTGTATCTGGGTTGCAACTTGTTTTTGTTAAAAATGTCGATATTGTATTTTTTAAAAGTGGTAATATTTAAGCCACAAATTTTGTATATATTAAATTATTAGGTGCCATGCCAAATACGTTTTTGACATGCCTTTGGCATACCACTACTAGCATGTCTGTGACTATTTTGCCAGGTACTCTACCTGTAATACAATATACCACAACCACTATACTACAACCTGTAGGGTTAAAAAAATCAATTTTGCACATTTTTTGAAGTTTGATTTGGATATGATTTACAAATCAGATTACTTGATTTGACTACGTGTTGGTTTATTAGAAAATTTTGTGTTGTATAATATGTATTTGTATTAAATTTGAATTTTTAGATTTTGTTGGAATTAAGATAGAAAATGTGTCAATAAATTTATTTTAGACAGCATTTGAAAAGAAGTTTTAAGCAAGGTTTGTTACTAAAAGGAGTAGACAATTTGCTTTAAGATAAAATTGTAAGTTTAACTCATGAAGAAGAAGTGCTTTTGTCACAAAGTGAAGTTGTGGATACTAAAAATAAAATTTCAGAAGAGAGAGCTAGAGATATTTATTTATATGAGTTTTTTGGAGTTGGGTTTACAAGAATGCAATAGTATATATCTGTATTAATATATAGAAGTAAGTAGTAAAATTATAATTTTAAAGTAATTAATTATAAATATTATAGTTTGCAAAATAAAGAAAAGATTGTAAAAAAAAAGATTAGAAGAAATAAGTAATCATATATACAATCAGGAATTAGAACATGATAGTGAAAATAAACAAGTTGATTATGTTTTAGAATATTTCCTTGATTAGAAAGCAAAATATTCACAAAGGTTAGAAAGAATAAGGATGTTGTGTCGGGTCGAAAGTTTTGGTAAAATTAGTAGCAGTGGGGATATTGTAGAAGGTAGTTAGAATACAGAGTTGTAGATAATAAAAGAGGAGTAATATTGAGTATAGATATAAGAAAGAGAAAGTTATTTGTTTGTTTGTTTTGTAGTAGATTGGTTTGATTATTATATATATAAAGATTTTAACAAAGTTTAAA